CACAGTTGGGGAGGTCCAGCCTGTCCTGGAGCCCTACACAGGGCTGAGGGAATACATTTCACCCCTGCTATAGTGCTACATGCAGCACAAGGGAGGTATACCAGTGAACTCCAGTGCTCAATACCACTGTGGGAACTGACAGCTGGCCACTGTTGTGATCTTGCCTGTGAGGGTTATCCCACCCAGTATCTGTGGGACCCTACATTAAGCAGGCACACCACCTGGCTGCCTAGAGACAGAATTGAAATTCCTTCAGCCCCACAGTCAGGTGAACAAGTCTCAGTTATCTCCTTACTTACCACTCTATTTCTTCTTTGTTTCTTCTCTTGCCCTTCTATCTTTCCCACCACAGTAGATCTCAATGGGCTCAGTTTTGTTTTGTTTTGTTTTTTCCCAAATTTTATTTTATTCGTTTTTTCCTCTTCTCTTCCTCTCTTCCCTATCATATGCCACTGCTGGCTTCCAGGCTACTATCCCAAATAGCAGGGGGAACTCCAGCCTTCCCTCAGTGGGAGGGCTGCACAACACTCATGAGGCAACTGTGACAGCCATCTACAGCACTTTGCACTGCTGAGGAAACCTCTGTCAGATTTCTAAGGTGATGTTGCCAACTATGAAAATTCCTCCAAGCACCACTGGGTTCCTGCATTAAAAGGGCACATCAATCTGTCATCTTGGACAGGGTATAAACCCCACTGGCCACACATTCAGGCAATCAGGGATCAGCTATTTCTTAATTCTTTCTTTTTCCTTCTCTCTTTCTTCTCTTTACCATCACAGGCAATCTTAGTGAGCACAGTTACGTTTTTTCCCCTTCTTTCTTTCTTATCTTTTTCTTTCTCTCTTCTCTCTCTCTTTGTTTTCTTCCCCTCTCTTTCTGCTTTTCTGTTTCTCTCCTCTCCCTCTATTTCCTTTGACATGCGACTGCTGGTTTACAGACCCCTACTCTCTGCCTAGGGCAACTCTGCCCACCCCGTGGGGACAGCCACAGCCTGCCCCCTAAGACAGTGCTGCAAATGGCACAAGGTAGTGCTAAACATGACGAGGCATGGGGCTCAGCTATCTCTTTATCTGTTTTTTCTCTCCTTTGATTTTTTTATTTTCATTCATTCTCTTTGTTCCTCTTTCACTTTTTCTACTTTTCTCCTCTTCTAATCACTCTTTCCTGTTACAGTCTCAGCAGATTCAGTTTTCCTTTTTTGTTGGTTTCCT